CCAGCGACCACGGATGAAGATGGCATCCGCAGAATTTTGTCCGTTAGCTGTATGCGACTCTTAGTCTTGGGCTTCCCTTCTTGGGTAAGCTCGTGGTCAGCCTGGTAAGCAAACTCCACAAGAATCAACGAAGACTAGAACGGAACAACTCCCCTGCCAAATAGAGATCCTCCTGATCAGGCAACCTTACGGGCCTGAGAATTAGAAGCATGCCGAGTCCAGAGGTAGGTGATTGGGATTTCGGAGTTTAGGGCCGAGAGGACCGCGGGCAGAAGGTAGGTATATATTGTGGGGCTTAGGAGAAGTCCAACCGTCCAACCTCAGGCTTGAATGGCAAATCGCAGTGCAGATAGCATCAGCTTCCTAAAGCTCTTGTAGAAAAACTTTACAGACGCATGTCAAACCCCAATAAAGCCAGTGTGCAAAAAGTTCTATCAAGCCACTATGGGCTTAAGATGCAGAGTCTGGCTTTGGGGGTTCTTCGCTGGCTTGGCTGCAGGTTCTAGGGTTGATTCTGTGAGGTTGTGGCTTGCTTTAACTGCTATGAAGGTGTAAGGGGTTCGAATTTCAAAACCAATGCCTTTGGACAAACGCCCCGCTGTTCGTGCATGGTAGGCTCTTCAGAACAAGAGGGTACTTCGCCCCGGGTCCACGGCTTCTCAAAACTTAAAACATACACAGCTGGTGCTCCTTAGGCTTAGGTTGTTAGGTTTGAAACCACTGCAAAGTTTGTGGAAGGACACAGAATCCCGGCTTTAGGGATCTCGAAGCCGCGCGCGCTCAGAAGCCTACCGCCAAAGCTTGACCCTTCGGGTGCGTAGGACCTAGCGGCCTGGAGCTATCCGTTCGGGAATCCCCTTTCCATCCCCACAAATGCACGGAAAAAGGGACAACGCAGAGGGCGTGCGAGGACCGTTGCCCAAAGATGCCGTCTTTATCCAAAATAGAAAAGACTATTCAGCAACCAGTCGTATTGTGATTGTTATCTAGCTCCGTAGTCTCTGAGAGACTCGGGCACGGTTTCTGGACGAAGATCCCCACACCTCCCCGGCCATGAAAAGTTGACTTCAGACACAGAACATATTCCCAGGATTCCTCCAGCCACAAAGCCGACGAAAGGCCAGACCCCGGTGCGGAAGCTGTGCGAATCCTGCCTTTATTTGCAAAAACTTCAACGGCAAATCCCGGGGCGCCGCAATCCACTGGAAGGGGCGCGCGACTGCCCCGGCCGCGGGGCACGCAGGTTGGGGGTGATGGGAAAACACCTCGGTATGCTGGAGTAGGAGCATGAATCTAATCATACCCTTTACTCTGCATGGAATTGTCAGACATGTCGTGACGTCCCAGTAGGTGCTCAACAACTTCGGGAGAGCATGGGACGTGCTGCAGGATGCACAGGAGTCGGCCTGAAAAGAAATTAGAATGAAGTTAGAGCAGCCTGACTTTGGGGGACATACAGCATTCCAACGCATATCAGCCGGTCATGCTGCAAGAAAGCCCCTGCACAAACCGCTCTTCGGCGATGTTCGAACGTGTCGGCAGTGATGTGCAGACCCTAGGGGCCAGAACAAAGATCTCAACGTTGTGTTCTTCACTTCTTCAGAGATACAAACGAATCATCAAATCGGGCAACCGACCAGTGGCTTTGCACATTGCTGGAACGAGGCCGGGCGGAAACCCAAATCTCCGCCCGCTTAAAATGATTGTGGGCAGGCACACATCTGTGTGACTTTGTGCGTGCGCAGACCCAACTCCAACCAGTGCCATGTGCAACGGTCCGCACGGACGCTGCCAGAGCTCACCACTAGGGACTCACAAAGGAGCTCACAAAAAACACATCACTGCTTCACCTGGCGTGCAAGTTGCTCTTGCAAGTTGACCTGGTCCTTGACTTGGCATGTGCAGGTCAAGCATGCTAGCACACCGTCACCATGCTGCCTCTCTGCAATCTACAACCCAAGCCTGCGCTTGCTTGGCTCGAAACCCAGAACTCTGACCTGCTTACCCAAACAATGAACACAACTTCAATACCTTGGGCTTAGAGCCGAAACTTGAGAAATCCATCAGCCCAAGAAAGCAAGGACAGCTGTGCCCTTTTTTCTTCGGCTTCGCCAGGGTTACGGGCGTTCAACGAAACTCAAGCCTGACGCTCTTAACTTATGTCTCACAGTCATGACAGACTCTATGAAGGTGGCTGCCCGCAACGTAAGTTGGAGCTTCAGACCAACCCTGAGTGGTGGAATCCTTATGGTCGCACTACGTGTAAACGCCCAGTCAGCCGACCAGAAGATACTGGGGCTTGCGGTTCCGGGGGGATTCAGGGTTGTACGGGCTTTATAAAGTGCCAGCAGCGGTCGCAGCAGCAGGAGGAATGAGGGTTTAGGGTACTTCTATCCCCGAACCCTCCGTGAGTGAAATCTGCCAAGAAACCTTTCGTCGGTGCAGTAGGCTCTCGCAAACCTCATGCTCCAGCTTACCCTTATGATCATCACCGTCTGCAGCTGCAAGGACAGCACGCATCATAGCAGGCAATGCAGTAGTAGTAGTAGTAGTAGTAGTAGTAGTAGTAGTTGCTGTAGTAGTGGTAGTAGTGGTAGTAGCGGTAGTAGTGGTAGTAGTGGTAGTGGTAGTGGTAGTAGTAGTAGTAGTCGTGGTGGTGGTGGTGGTGGTGGTGGTGGTGGTGTTAGCATTATCAGTACTGCAGTATTG